TAGGCGGGTATGGTGAACACCTGTAGGCCCAGCTACTTGGGAGGCTGAGGCAGAAGGCTCACTTGAACCCAGGAGGTTTGGCTTGCTGTGAGCTAGGCTGACATGCCATGGCACAGCAAGAGACTAAGACTTTGTCTCAAAAAAATATGTTTAAAAAAGATGAACAAAAATGTATTAACAAAAATAAAAGGATTTGTTCTGTAAAATTTAGATTTAGTCAAAAGACCATACTCAAAGACCTAGATTAGATGTGGACTTAAGGCCACAGGTTCCCAGTGCTGTATAGAGCTTCACTCAGACCGCAGGGGATGATAGTGGGTAAATTAATTGGGAAGGTGGAGAGGTAGAGTCCCTTTACTGCTGGTATAATTTGAAATAAACTCATTATTATGTCTAGATTTTGAAACCTCCAAGGAGTCCTCTTCAGGTCCTCAGAAGTGGGAATGAAACACTTCAGGTAAGTACCTAGTGCAAGTGCTTTATAGATAACTATTTTCAGTGATATTTATTTATTTATTTATTTATTTTTCTTTGACCAGGGCTGGGTTTGAACCTGCCACCTCCGGCATATGGGGCTGGCACCCTACCCTTTTGAGCCACAGGTGCTACCCTTCAGTGATATTTTTAATAATGAGGAACTTTATTAGCTATATAAAGGTAGAAACATCATAAATTATTCCCAGTTGAATGAGTATACATGTGAGCATTAGATGCACTTTCCAAGCAATTGAATATGGTGACATTCATAATTTAACTCCTATTTAGCTTTCTAGCCTTTTTTCTTACTACTCTCACACCTGTAGCCCACAATTCAGAATTGCTTACTATTCCCCAAATAAGACATAAACTAGGCTCAGCGCATGTAGCACAGTAGTTATGGTGCTAGCCACATACACCAAGGGTGATGTGTTCAAACCCAGCCCAGGCCAGCTAAACAACTACAACAAAAAAACAGCTGGGTATTGTGGTGGGCACCTGCCACTACAACTGCTACTTGGGAGGCTAAGGCAAGAGAATCGCTTGGAGGGGTATACTGTATATACCAACTTTAGTGACAGTATTGTTAATAAGTTCTTATTAGTGTAGTGACTATATGATGAGTGTAGTGACATCATCATAGCTTACTGCAGCCTCAAATTCCTGGGCTTAACGGGCTTAAGTGATCCTCTCACCTCCGCCTCCCAAGTAGTGGGTACTACAGGCATGTACTTTCATGCCCAATTAATTTTTTGTAGAGATGAGTTCTTACTATGTTGCCCAGGCTGGTCTTGAATTCCTGGCCTCAAGTGATCCTTCTGCTTTGGCCTTCCAAGGTCCTGGGATTACAAGTGTATGTCATTACATCTGGCCAGTGAGCCTGTAACAATTTTTTATGCTGTTCCCTCTATCTAGATAGCTAATCCCTCATTCTTTTTTATCCTATCATTTTACAATTTTATGAAAAATTTTTAAATTTTTTTCAAACATACCAAAAAGTAGAATTTATAGTAGGTGTTCAGGCTCTGCGCCTATGGCTCAAGTGGCTAAGGCACCAGCCACATACACCTAAGGTGGTGGGTTCGAATCCAGCCCGGGCCCGCCAAACATCAATGATGGCTGCAACCAAAAAATAGCCAGACGTTGTGGCAGGCACCTGTGGTCCCAGCTACTTAGGAGGCTGAGGCAGGAGACTCACTTGAGCCCAGGAATTGGAGGTTGCTGTGAGCTGTGATGCTACGGCACTCTACCCAAGCGGACAGCTTGAGGCTCTGTCTCCAAAAAAAAAAAAAATTACAGTGGGTGTTCATATATTCATCACCTAGATCCTACAATTAACATTTTTTCTTACTTGCTTTATTATAAACCTATAGCTCTGTAGCCCTCTTCTTTCTTCTTTTTTTTTCAAAAGAGTATTTTACTCTGTTGCCCCAGCTAGAGTATAGTGGCATCAGTATATACTATAGACTGTATACTGCACCCTCAGACTCTTGGTCTCTAGTAGTCCTCCTGCCTGGGACTGCTAAGTAGCTGGAACTACAAGCATGAGCCACTACATCCAGGAGGCAGCCTTCTTTATTTGGTTAATTCCTATTTGTGCTTCAAGACTCAGCTTTGGTTTCATCTCTCTCAGAAAATTATCCTTTAATAGTTCTATTGTAATTATTTTTTTCAATCCATTCTAAATAGAGAAACTCATGGAGGGTAAGAATTTTATAGAGTCTTTTTATTTGTTGTGTCTGGTGCATAGTTAGCTTTTAGTACATTTTTTGATTGTTAAAATACATGTAGTTTTGGAGACATATAATTTGGCTTCTAATCTTCTTGTTTCTCAAATACATCAAGCTTTTTCTTGCTTTAAGATCTCTGCATACATTCTGCCTAGACTCATCTCTCCTTTACTCAATTCTTCATCTGGCCAACTTCTAACTACTTGTTCAGGTCACAACTTAAATGTACTTCTTCAAAGTAGTCTTTCCTGATTTTAAAATTAAATACATCTTTTATGGAGTTTTTCTTCATAGCACTTCTCATGCTTTGAATTTTGTATTTGTGTGAATTTTTGTTTTATTATCTGTCTCACCATTAATCTACCCCTCCCCCCCCGTAGAGTTGGGACTGCATCTGTTTCCTTTACTAGTACAGTAGAACCTTTATAGGTTAACCACCCAAGGACCTGTAACAAACTTGTCAACATACAGAGGTGGTCAACATAAGGAACTAGGCCTGCTGTACTGATACATACATGTGGTACATGTCCAGTCTATGAAAATTAGGTCAACTTAAGGAGCTGGTCAATGTAGGGAGGTGGTCAGCTATAGAGTTTCCATTGTATTTTTCCATTGCCACCCAGCACAGGATCTAGTGTATTTGTATTTGTGGGTTTGTTTTTCTTTTTTCAGTTCAGCAAATGTTGAATGAGTAAATGGCAGATTCATAGACTGGATCTTGCTACCAGGGCTGAACTTGAATTTCTGAGCTTAAACAATCTTCCTACCTTACCCTCCCTAGCAGAGAAATGTTTGCTCTTGTTAAAGGAAGAGTGGAGGTTCGGTGCCCATGGTTCAGTGGTTAGGGCACCAGCCACATACACTGAGACAGGTGAGTTTGAACCAACCTGGGCCTGCTAAACAATAACAACTGCAACAAAAAAATAGCTTGGCATTGTGGCAGGTGCCTGTAGTCCCAGCTACTTGGGAGGCTGAGGCAAGAGAGTCACTTAAGCCCAAGAGTTTGAGGTTGTTGTGAACTGTG